ACAACCAAAATTTGTTACCGAGAGAAAATTGAAGATGTGGAATTTTGCCAAGGTGGAGATTTGCTGAATTATGTCAAATTTTNATAATTTTTGGTATAGTAATTGTGACTTATTCACACTATATACATTTGGCTTCCGCAACAGTATTAACACCAAAGAATGGTAACAACCAGTGAATAGTTGTAGTAGAGGCTTGAAATGAAGCCTAACACTAATTAACTACACTTTTAACCAAGCAAGACAGTTCTTCGATCTCATACCTCCTATGTTTTCCCTGCTGTACATTGTTGTTTCTTTGGTTGTGTATTTTCACTTTAAATATCACTTATCAAATTTACAGTATATAAATCTCAATCATCAAAATGGAATGTCCAGAACATCTCTTGAGAAACAACAAGGCCTGTTCATCAGAACACATTTCTACCCTTCACAAGCATCTAAACGAGATGTCTGAGAATCTAAAGTAATTTTCTTAGGTTACAACGACAAAAGTTTCTCAAAAGTTCCTCGTAATTGTTGGTCATATAGTCATGTTCTTATCAGAAAATTTGTGTATACTCAAAGCAAAATTTCTATTGAATTGCATTTAGAGAAAATACATAAAACATAAACAGATGTTAGGGAATGCAAATATAGTGAATGTATACGACGATTCATTATTGGAAACCGCCTCTACCTTCCTAGGGTAGGGGTAAGGCCTGCGTACACAGTACCCTCTCTAGACCCCACTTGTGGGATTCCACTGGCCTTTAATAGGTGACCTTGTCTTAACATGCACAAGATGAAATAAAATACCAAAGGAGAGTACAAACCAGCAGCTTGCATGGAAGCTCCAACCTTCTTCATTGGTTCACCCACTGGATAGTGCTCGCTACTTGATTCCACAACCTGCTTAGCAGAAGACAGTAGCGATTGTTTTCTCCCCTGACTAATGCCACCATCATTACTACTTTTTGAAACTTCCTCGAGTGAGATGTCATTGATTCCATTGAAAATAGCAGAATGAACATCAACTAAGGGATAAAGAAACTGAAAAACATAACTGACGGCCAAGCTTGATCTGTATTCTGGGTGTAAAGCCCCATCTTCCGGTACCACAGCTAGTTTGACTAATTTAAGTGCTTCACTTAAAATATGTGCATTTAATATTTTCCCTGTTAGATATTCCTCTACCTTTTTACCCCTTGTTGAGTGTTTTGTACCATAAGCACCAAACGCCAGCTGGATATCGTTTATCAGGATGCCGTTATGGCAGAGAGAAACATCAACCCCAAAAGCAGCATTTACATATGCTATTGCATTCCCATGAGGTCGTGGAGCAGCTCGATAGGTTTCAAACAAAAACTTAGAAAAGGTTTTGAGAGAACTCTCTTCTTTAAATGGGATCCAAACACTTAGAAGCACGGTCCTTGAGTCTATTTGAGGTCTCGATAATAATTCCTCCCATGTGAGTTTTTCAAGTGCATGACCGGTCATCAAGCTAACGGTAGCACCCACGCCAAGAAATAATGTAGCGATATCTGAAGGAAAACCATTCTTCTGTGCCATAACCAAATTTCCTCCCACACTAGCAGAGTTCCTAACAAATGGTGAAGCAATCTTCTCCATGTGGTTAACCAGCTTTTCGGACACCAGCTTCCCATATGGACCCAAATTGCCTTTGTTTTCCTCTTTCAAGAATGATATAAGTTTAGAGATGGTCACAGTTGCTCCCACTTCAATGCCTGTCTGATCTCTTTTGATGATTGAGAGTTCAGGAATATACCTGAGATCAACGTAATGATCATATCGCTGTGTTTCCTTATAATAACCTGTGCCTGTATTACCAACCACCAGTTTAAAGCTCGCACCATTTTCCGCCACACTGGAGTTCAACAAGCTCTGTAGCTCCTCGATGGAAGTAGGACTGTACCAAGGGTACCTTGTGGAGTCCAAATTTGTGGTGCATTCATTTTTCAAGAACTCCGGATATGTACTAAAATTCTTGGTTGGATCATAAGGAGGTAATTTACTTATTTTCATTTCCTTGGAATCTCCCTTTTTCCAAAAAGAATTGAACCCCAAATCCTCTATATCAATATCAGCAGCAAAAGACTTGCAAGCATCAGCAATGGGCCGGTATCCAGTGCACCGACAAAGGTTCCCTGCTATGGACTTTTCGGCTTCAGATGAAGTAAGCTTAGAGAATCCAGGCAGAGGATCTGCTTTGTTTCCTTTATCGGCATTGATAAGAGCTGAGAAAAATGACATGCACATTCCAGGAGTGCAAAAGCCACATTGAGAAGCATGGAAACCGGCAAATCTTTCATGAATAGAGTGGAAACCATCTCTGGTGTTCCCAAGGCCTTCACTTGTAGTAATTGAGCAACCATTTAAACTGCAAACAAGTGTAAGGCATGAACTCACGCTATAATCTTCGACCTTTTTAAGCTTGGGATCATACTTTGAGACCAGAACGACACAAGCCCCACAACCACCTGTAACCATAAGAATTAAGTCAAGTTCTTTCTGAACCCAAAATCGAGAACTTGTTACAAAAATACTTATGAAAGGGCAGTCGCGAAGCCACTTTAAGCTAAGGGGTGTCATTTACACCATTTTGCCAGAAAATTACGCTGTGTAGCTAGGGGTAAAATTATTTTTATTTATATATACTATATGTTGAATCCCCTTATTTTCTCAGTGTGTTTCCTTCTTTATATTTTAACACCCCCTTGTGAAATTTCGGGCTCCACAACTGCGAAATGGGCATACTTACAACTTTGACGAACTAAGGCTAACAGAATAACAGAATTGGAGTCAAATTAAAGATGGAAGGGGAACAGATCATACACCTTCAAAAAGCTTATGAAGAAAAAAGGATTTTCAACTAGTCTCAAGTCAGAAAATAAGAAATAAAATATCTCATCTAACATGTATTCTACATTGAAAAACTACAGAAGTTAGCCATTTATTTCATTGTTCCAGAAAAGTAATTCTACTGCTAAGCTGCAGAAGTTAGCCTAGTATATGTATATAATCATGCATATATTAAAACCTTTAACTCTTTTTTTTTTAATAAATATTTTTATGATAAGTAACCTTATCTCTTAAGATATTGAAAAGAAAGGTCATATCATTTGGAGAAAACTACAGTAGAAGTTGTCAATTTCCAAGAAAAGCACAGAAATAAAGCAAAACAAACATGTCCATTAAAATACCGATATAAGTAAATCCACAGCTTTTAGTACAACAACAACAACAAAAAACGCAGTAAATTCCCAAAAGTGAAATCGGTGAAGGTTGAGATGTACGCGGCCTTATCCCTACCTTGGAACTTGAAAGACAGAGATGTTATTTTCGAAAGACAAATCCACAACTTTTAGTATTCCTTATTACTGTTGTATTAGCACCAAAACAAACAAATAGTGTACATGTAACAGAGTGGTTAAACAAATGAGGAGAATTAATTACCTTCACCACAACCAAGTTTAGGACTCTTGAAACAAGTCTCAGAACGCAAGAAGTGAAGCAAAGTAGTAGAAGGATTAATATTTGGCAACTCAAACCTCTCTCCATTTACTGCAAATACTAAATTCCCTTTTCTCTGTTCCATTAATAGCTCCTTAAAACCAAGATTCTTGGCTTAACTTAACACAGACCCTTTATCAATTCCTGTTTTTTCTCCTACTTTTTAAGCTGAGGAATGAACAGTTAAAAGATAAAGCAACAATCTTGAATTGAATTGGGGTGTCCAAATAATATCTCCCACATTCTCAATGGTCAACTGCCAATTTAATATTTGAACTCAACATGTTCTTTTCATTTCTGGGAGCTATTTAATAGGAGGAAATAAATTAACAAATAATTATATTATTAAAGCATCAAGTTTCATAGAGTCCACTACTTCAGAAGTTTCTAAGGTAAGAGGATTTGAAGGGGACGGCCATCAATTTTATTTTACATTCTTTTTGTTTTGACTTTTTTGTATAAGAATATTTATATATGGCGCAGTAGCATTAAAAAGTTGCCACGTAGGCTTGTGTTTTAAGGGAAAAAACTAAGCAGTAATACCTTTTCAGATAAGGAAGAAACATGTCACAGAAACAACACGCACTTTCTCGAGTTCATTTCCTATGACTATTTTTCCACTGTGTATTAAATGTTGTGATTCTCGAATCAATATGAAGATTATTTGAGAGGAAAAATAACTCTATTTCACAAAAATAGAATTACAGAGAATTTACACTAAGAATTTCTCTTTACAAAAAACCTCACCAAACTCTTTTTTTGTTCTCACAATCTCTTCCTGGATTGTATTTCAATCTCTCTGGATTGATATTTCTGTGTAAAACATAAGGCTCTATTTATAGCCTTAAAAAAGGTGGTTGGTGGTTGAATTCTTCGTTCAACAATGGTGGGCTTCTAGAATTGGGAGTTGGCAGTAGTTGAACTTATCAATTCTCCCCCTTCAGCTGCATTCCAACACAGCTACTATTTGAAAGTTATTCCAACTATGTCTCTGCACAACTCTAACTTTTCTTGAGTGACCACCTTTGTTAACATGTCTGCTGGATTCTCCTTCGTATGGATCTTCACTAGTTTCAACAGTTGTTGATCCATCACCTCGCGTATCCAGTGATAGCGAATGTCGATGTGTTTTGTCCGAGAATGAAACATTGAGTTTTTGCTTAAATCAATTGCACTTTGACTATCACAATGTATCTTATACTCTGTTTGATTTATCCCTAGTTCTTGGAGAAACCGCTTTAGCTATAACATTTCTTTTCCAGCTTCTGCTACAGCAATATATTCTGCTTCAGTTGTGGATAGTGCAACACACTTCTGCAATCTTGACTGCCATGACACAGCTCCCCCTGCAAAAGTATAAACATATCCTGAGGTTGATTTTCTTCCATCAGGATCTCCGGCCATATCTGAATCTCTATAGCCTTCCAAGACTGGATCAGCTCCCCGAAAGCACAGACTTGATTTTGAAGTACCTTTAAGATACCTGAGAATCCACTTAACTGCCTCCCAATGTTTCTTTCCAAGGTTAGAAAGAAAACGACTTACCACACCTACCGCATGTGCGATATCTGGCCTCGTGTAAACTATGGCATACATCAGACTTCCAACTGCTGAAGAATATGGAATTGTAGACATCTCCTCAATCTCTTTCTTGGATGAGGGGCACAAACTCTTGCTCAACTTGAAGTGATTTGCCAAAGGGGCACCTACCGGTTTGGCATTACTCATATTGAACCGTATGATCACCCGTTCAATATAATTTTCTTCAGATAGCCATAACTTCTTGTTTCTCCTATCTCGAGTTATCTGCAATCCCAAAATATGTTGAGCTGGACCTAAGTCTTTCATTTCAAAGGACTTAGAGAATTTTTTCTTCAACTGTCTAATTTTTGTTGCATCTTGTCCGACAATCAACATGTCGTTTACATAAAGTAGAAGTACAACAAAATTGTCATCCGAAAATCTCTGAATGTAAACACACTGATCTGCAACAGTCCTTTTATATCCTTGACTTACCATAAATGAGTCAAACTTTTTGTACCACTGCCTCGGTGCTTGCTTTAGGCCATATAAACTTTTCGTAAGCTTATAGACGAGGTTTTCTTTTCCTGAAACCTCAAAACCTTCCGGCTGCTCTATATAGGTTTCTTCATTTAGATCACCATGAAGAAATGCTGTCTTGACATCCATTTGTTCAAGCTCCAAATTCAAACTGGATACCAATCCAAGGATGATGCGGATTGAAATCAATTTTACAACTGGTGAAAATATTTCATCAAAGTCAATTCCCTTTTTTCTGTAGGAATCCTTTGACTACTAACCGGGCTTTGTGCTTCACCACCTTTCCTCTGCCATCTTTGTTGAGCTTGAATACCCATTTACTCTTCAGTACCTTCTTTCCTTGTGGAAGTTTCACAATCTCATAAGTGTTGTTTTTCTGTAAAGAGTTCATCTCTTCGGTCATTGCTTGCAGTCATTTTTCTTTATCCTTATGAGATATAGCTTCATGGAAACTCTCTGGTTCTCCATCTTTAGAAAGTAGAATATACTCAGTTTCTGGGTATCGAGTTGATAGAATCTGACCTCGTTCAGATCGACGAGGTTGTTGATTATTAGCTTCAGGAGGTGTACCGTCATTATTCCCCTGTGATGGTTCTGTAGTTTCCTGAGGGGTTTGTGCCTCCACCTGCCAAACATCCTCCTGTTCTACTTCTGGTACTGCTTCATGCTCCCCCATGCTAATTGTGTCAAACTGCAATGGTAGTGGATCTGGACCAACTTTTTGGGCACTGGAACCTCTTTCATAAGACATTGTGGGCTTTTCAATGTCTTCAATTGTCTGGTTTTCGTGGAATACAACATCCCTACTTCTGATCACCGTCTTCTGTATTGGATCCCATAATCTATACCCAAATTCTTCATCTCCATAGCCTATGAAGATACATGGTATAGTTCTACCATCAAGCTTCTTCCTGAGCTCCTTGGATACATGTGCATGTGCTAAACAACCGAATACCCTTAAGTGAGAATATGAGGGATTCTTACCCGACCATATTTTCTCTGGAACCTCAAAATTCAACGGGGCTGATGGTGACCGGTTGATTAGGTAGCAAGCGGCGCGAACAGCTTCTCCCCAGAATGGCTTAGGCAGCTTTGCCATACTGATCATACTTCTGACTCTTTCCATAATTGTCCGGTTCATTCTCTCGGCTACTCCATTGTGTTGTGGGGTGCGTGGGACCGTCTTTTCATGTCGAATCCCTTGTCTCTTGCAATAGGAATCGAACTCCTTGGAAGTATACTCGCCTCCATTATCTGAGCGAAGGCATTTTAATTTCTTTCCCGTTTCACGCTCTACCATGGCATGAAATATCTTGAAATAATCAAAAGCCTGGTCCTTTGTCTTTAAGAAGTACACCCACACCTTTCGAGAAGCATCATCAATGAAAGTCAGAAAATACCTATTGCCGCCAAGTGACTTCTCCTCCATGGGACCACAAATATCAGAGTGTACCAGACTGAGTAACTCTGATTTTCTGGTTGAAGAAAATGTAAAAGAGACTCTATGTTGCTTTCCGAATAAGCAATGATTACAAGGGTCTAAAGCAGCATTCTTGTCCATTCTAATAAGCTGCTTTTTCGTTAGAATTGATATCCCATTTTCACTCATGTGACCGAGTCTCTGGTGCCACAGGTTTTGAGACGCCTCTTTTTCCATAACCTTGAGGCTGTCTGAACATACCTTCACATGAGTTTTATATAAGTTACCAAAAAATTATGTCCTCGAGCGAGAATCATAACCCCTTTCAGCAATTTCCATGTGCCTTTTCCGAAATAACTTTCATAGCCCTGTTTGTCAAGAACTATACCTGATATTAGGTTTAGACAAAGATCTGGCATATGACGGACATCCTTCAATATCATTGTACTCCCGATATTTGTTTGTATTTTGTTATCTCCAATTCCAACTATCTCACAGGAAGAAGTGTTCCCCATCTTCACTACTCCAAAGTCTCCTGCTTTGTATGTTGTGAAGAAATCTTTTCTGGATGTGGCGTGGTATGATGCTGCAGTATCCACCACCCATTCGTTTTCTTCTTGACTTGAGACGTGAAGGCATGTCTCTTCTTGGATGGAACAAATGGCTACCTCTCCGTGGGTAGTGACTAATGCATCTCCATCCTTCTGCTTCAACTGCTCCTTCTCCTTATGCAATTTTCTGCAGTTCTTCTTTAAATGGCCCTTTATTCCACAGTGGTAGCACGCATAAGATGACTTCCTACCATCTGTGGATTTTCCCCTACTCTTGCTTCTGCCTCTCCTCTTATCTTGACTTCTTTCTTGTTGTCTCCCTCTTTCTGTAATAAGGGCATGCGACTCACCATGATCGATGTCCTTTCTTCTGGCTTCTTCATTAAATAAGGCATCTTTAACCATAGACATGGTCAGATTTCCACTAGGAGCTGAATTACTGAGAGAGACTACCAGCGTTTCCCAGCTATCAGGAAGAGAACAAAGAAGTAGTAGGGCTTGCATCTCATCCCCGAGCGGCATGTCAACAGACGATAATTGACTTATCAAGCTCTGAAACTCACTGGTATGCTCGGCAACTGAAGTTCCGTGCTTTAACTTCAAATTTACCAAACGCCTCATCAACAAGGCTTTGTTCCTAGCGGTCTTGGCTTGATACATCCCTTCTAACTTCACCCAGAGGGCATACGCGTCTGTCTCTTGTGCAACATGATGAAAAACGCTATCGTCAATCCATTGTCGAATTTAACCAATAGTTTTTCTGTTTAATTTCTTCCACTCTGCTTCTTTGGTGGAATCGGGGTTCTTACCCTTTGCTTCTATGGGATCAAACAAATCTTTACAACTTAGAAGATCTTCCATCCGAGGTCTCCACAATGTGTAATTTGTGGCAGTAAGCTTTATCATAGCTCCAGATGATGATGACTCTTCCATTATATCGTTAAAATGGCTTGGTCAAAATTTTGGAGCAGAATCTCACCAAACAGACCTCACCAACGAGTCCGGAATGGTGAAAATTGGTAGGATTGACTCTTCTTGGGTCAAAATAGGGCCTCTAGAAAATTTTCAAAATTTACACCATACTTTTGGGGGTTAAATCGAAAATATACTGAACTTATGGGGCAGATTTATAATTTCAAAAACTTCAAGGGTTATTTCATAAATTTCTGAAAATTTATGATGACTGGACGCTGACTAGATGCTGACTGGATGATGACTTGGCGTTGACTGGGCAATTACTATTCATCATCTTCTTCCTTGGACAGAAAAAAAAATAGTAAAATTTAAGTTGCCATAACTTCTTCGTTTTAGCTTTGTTTTGCCTTCGGAAAATTGCGTTGAATTCGT